TTCGATAATGGCCGAGTCCTTCAGCAGCATATTAATTCTGATTTGTCAAAATCTCGGTCAAAATATTCAGATTGGTTATTATGTAACAAACTTAAAATCAATGTCTCAAAAACAAAATACATTATATTATTATTTAAACAAAAAAAAAATAGAATAGTTGAATAACCTATTCTTGAAATAAATAATATGACCCTAGAAAGAGTTTGGATCGAAATCTTAAATGGAGAGAACATATCTCACATATGTATATAAATATAATAAAATAATTCCAATGGTGGGAGCTGTGTATAGGTGTAGAGATTATTTGAGCTATAAAACAAATTTAAACATCTACAATGCCTACTTTCTGTCACATTTTCGATCTTACTTTCAGTATGGGGCAGATGAGGAACTGGGGAATTTCAAAGGGTACAGGTTCTTCAAAATAAAGTTTTAAAAGTTCTATTCAATTATAAAAGGCTAGCACACACAGAGCAACTATATAGGGAGGTAGGTGTATTACAATTATTGAACAAGTTAAGACAGTTAGAATAATGCAAATATATCTATAACATAACACATTAAAATCAAAGATCAAATTCTAACATATTGTACCTATATTGAAAGTGTCCATAGCCATTTTACTAGATCTCATCATAACATTATCTATCAGGAAAATATTACAACAAATAAAGGCGTCTCCTCTATAATCCTCTAAAATGTACAATGCACTAACTACAAATATTGAGACTGTAAATAGGTTTCCTAGGTTTAAGAGATTATTGTGTGATTTTCTTGTTTAAACACAAAATTATTTTAAGAAAGCATAAGTATATCTTGGGCATTTAATGATGAACTTCGAGTGTAAATTTTGATTCAAATGAATACTTACTTACTTACTAGAGAGATGATAATCATATATTTGTTATTTGAATTGAATTTTTGTATTGTTCCATATCTTAACAGTGATTCAATAAATGATTTATGTATGATAACTAAGTTTTTCTTGTTCAAAATGTATTTCAAACAAAAAATGTGTTTATGCCACTTACTTCATGTGGGGGTCTACAATAATACCGAAAAACTAAAAACTTTATCATTAACTTTTTTATTTCCAAGGATAATTTAAGAATAATCTGTGCATGTTAATACTGTCAAAGAAAAAGCAATATATTACTTAGTTTTTCTTTTAAGTTTAAAGAAAGTTTGTTTGTATCCATCCAGCCAGTTTTTTACTCTAGTTAATCCATTCATCATTCTGCTTTCAACATCACTCCAGTCCACCCTGTCAAACACCAAGATCATCTGCAAAGAAAATTATTTTACCGTCAATTTCCCTTCCCAGAAATGAATTCAAGTAGATAGGTAACTTTTTTCTTGCAGATACTTACCAGCAAGTTTATCTGAAGATGAATAAACCAGGCCTAAATTAATAATAATTGTCAATAAAAGTTATCTTCAACTATGGAATGTGTCCAGTACATTTACTAAAAAAGATGTAGGAATCTGAAATTGTTTACCATTTTTTTATTGATAATTTTTCAATTTAGATATCGCTGAATAATATAGTTATGTATATTTTAACACATTGCATGCCACGTCGGGTGGAACTGCTCGACAGTGATGTGTGTGACAATTTAAAGTAGTAGTAATTTTGACTATCTTTGAGTAGTAGTAGTAGTACCTACTCTACTTCTGAACTCTTTATCGTTTAGGGGTTTCGAGAAAATCGAGTTTGAAGTTTTGGACAAAATGTCAACTAAAATTCAACTTTCAAGTCTAATATTTCGGAAATTTCACAAGTTATAAAATAGTACCTATATTAAAATACAAGTTGCAGAAGGCCACATATTCCCGTACGAATTCGAAATTTGGACACGAGCGACGAAGGAGCGAGTGGACGAACGAATGAGTGCGAGAATAGCCTTCTGCAACGTGTGTTTTATACTATTTTATCGATTTTGGATTTTATTTTTCATTTTTAAAATTTTTTTTGCGAACGCTGTTAGTTGGGGATTTTTTATTTTCAAAATATGTCAGTTGGTGTCACTTATTTACCAACCAACCAACTGGCAGGTGGATTCTATCATTTTAGAAGGTTTGACAATTTTGAAGGTACCAATAGGTATACACTTTAAAAACTAAATGTCACTAAAAATCGTTGAAGAATGAGCTTCATTCTTCAACAATTTTGCGTGCGGGAATAATGACATTCTCACATGAAAATCGAGAAACCAATTTTGCAGGGCTTATAGAGAATTTAATACTCTTTCCAATGATGTAATATTGTAACTGAGATTTCGAAATTTCATTGAAGATATGAGTAATTATTCATGAGCCTTTCAAGTTTTCAAAAGGGTTTTCATCACATTTTCGAAACAATTACAGCAAGTGAAGAAGGAAGGATTTGTTTATCTCAATATTATTATGCCTAATTGATGAATCATCACTGAAATGAGAAAAAAAGGTACCATCAGGGTAAAATTATATTAACTTAAATGCAAATTGTGTTTTTAAAAACTTTTATTTTAATTAAAACACGAAATTACATTGATGTTGCTACGACAAAGCTAACTTAAAGACTGATTTCTACAATGCTGCAAGGCTATATTTATAATAAAGATAAATGCTGATGCATAAGCAAAAGCTTGCAAAAACTCCTTAGATTAATAATGACGTGTCGTCAGAAGTGGCCATATAATTGTAATGTAAACAAGCTATTGTACCTGACTTCTCTTATCTATTTTTATACTTGTCATTCGGCAGTAGACTATTGTGGAGGAATAAGCTATTCAAAAAATAATAATTACCTACCTAAGCTATGATCCTAACTGCCCTTCAAATCAGAATTTTAATAAGCTACTTCTAGTTGAGCATGTTTGGTATTAGACTTTAAGCATTTGGCTGTAGATGCGTTCAATAACTTCCTTTTAACAATTGAAGTTGCGTTTCACTGATATTGTCGCAGCCCTGTTTGGTTGAGACTGTTGCAATCTTATTTAGTTGCAACTAGGGACCGGGGGGAATCTGAGAGATTAAAACAATCAAGTTTTGTAACACCAAGAAAAATATCTATTCTCAAAATCAATAATTAAATTAAGAACAGTAGTGTGAATGTTGTGAATGATGGCCGATGAGAACACTAGAGGATTTATTAAAGTTTAACAATGGTACTTACCGGAATCCCATCTTCCTGTAGCCCGTTAGCCCGTAGCACAACTTTTTTCGACTTTAACGCCCGAATTCAGATTTACAACTAACTTGAAAATTACGCTTTATCGATCCAAATCGATTCAGAAATGTCAGCAAAAAATCATTGACCTAAAACCTAGGTTGTTGGCTTTAAGCTTTTGCTGACTCTGAGTGCGTTTGCTTTATTTGATATAACATCCGAATTGCGCAACTAAATTGGGACATTATTAGTCAATGAACTTTGGTTAATTCGTATTGGAATAATAATGTTATAAAGGGTGATATTTTTTGGCTTGACAATATCCAGGGTAATAAATCGCGATTTGATTATTTCTTTTTGGTATTTGGTGTCCCCTGGGGAAGCCGTCCACCATAATAGGTTAGGATCCCATTTGTTGCACGATTATACTATTTAAGGTAAGTGTAGCAGTGAGGCACTACCGAATACCGGCGAGAAATGGTTGAATTATGATTTGCTGTTGGGTTTCAGCTGCACAACGTGGTTTCAAGTGAATTCAGCCTAACTTCATAGAATAGCTGAATGCTCTTCAACTTTTTCAGGCAAAATTGTTTTTGTGTTTTACAGATGAAAAGTCAAGTGATCATGTTCTATATTATAGCTGAAATTAAATGGTCACACCTCTAAAGAGGAATAAAGAACCTTTCAAAGGAGGTATCATACGGGGTGGTTTGTCATTTTAGAAAAATCATTAGGGGTGCAAGTCTCCAAAACAGGAGGAGGGGCAGGGATTGGGCAATAAACACATTTGGTTTCTCTGATGTGTATTTGACATTTTTATTACTAGGTAGCTTTAAAAATATGCTCATTTTTAAATACCAATATGTCAAAAACTAATCGTACGATTTAAGATTTTTCTATAGGACTGTCAAGGGATAGCAACAAGTTATCCAAGGTAGGTTTGTATTTGAAAAAAAAAATAAGTTACGGTAGCTTCCCCTTAACAGGTAGGTGAGGCGGGGTGAATCAAAAAGTGCCTCATTTTGGTTCCTCTTCCAATTTGAGATCTTGTTGATAGTATTTTTTGTTTACACCGAGGAAACATCAAATATGCAACGTGCGACATGGAGTAAATACCGCATATAGACTTGTGCCGCATATATCCATTGTATATGGGTGAGATTGAAAAGTTACCCCATTGCAAATGATTTTCCATATCAAAATAAGAACAAGTGGGTGATTATTGAGATCCATAAACTGATGCAAAGTAATGTGCAAAAGCTTCTGAAGTTTGATCTGGCTCCTTCCTCTATAGTCAAACCATTATAAGTAACACATCCAGTGGTATACCAGGTTTCCTAGATCTAGATTTTACAAACTTCCAAAAGCTGTTAGGATCCAATCTTATTATATCCTCTATATTTTTTATATACTCAGAAAACTCTCTAACTCTCTGTGCTTGTTAAAAAAATATAAACTAGCCTTGTCATGCTTTATTCGGTTATGTAATCTATTTTTATGCTTGATGTTTCTCACCAAATCGATTGAGGATATTAACAATGTTTACTATGTTTAGAAACTGGTTTTTTGGTACTGTATTATCCAAGTAACTATTGTCATAGAATAGGTCTAGACATATGATCGGATCAGGTAATTTCTTTAATAGCATTATACAGACCCAAAAAGTTACCATTTGTATAATCATACTTATAAGAAGGTAATATAACTTAACATATCACTTATATAAAATCGAAAGTTAATAGGTCAAAAGACAAACAATATAGAAAAGTAAATTTAATTTCTACGTATTCCATATTCGAGTTGAAAATGTTAAATACCTATATAGAATTATGCTATTTATTCTTTCTAGACTGCGCCCGAGGAATTTGTAAAAATCCATTCGCCCGAACAAAAACCATCAAGCATTGTCAAATACCTTCGTGCTGCCAAACCAAATACAAGGAGATCATTCAAAAACCGAAAACTTATAGCAAGCACACCCAATCCCCTATCTAAGATTAATAGACCCACAAATGACTTTTCTAACGCGGGTTCTCCAGATGAGGATTCTCAACTGTCACGAGCCAAAGCAAAAACTAGAAATAAAAGGAAAACTAAAAAGCAGACAACTGTAAAAAAAACAAATATTTCAATGCTGAGCGATCAATCGCCCAGTCCAAGAAGACCTGAACTAGTAATACTTTTAGAAAATGTATTGCCACCTCCAAGAGATTTTGTCAATAAAACTCCTAGAAGTGGAGGGCGTGTTAATTTTACAAATTTAAGGGACGATTCTGACAAGGATGCTGGGACTAAAAGTTTTGGACTCCTTCCGGTTTCACCACAAAAAACTGGTAAGTCAAATGCTAAAGATTGCATTGGTAAACAATAATCTTCTATTTTGTCCACTAAATCATGAGTTGTTCAATTATACCGGTCTGAAGTTAGCACGCCGCTCGAGCGCGCCAAAGTGTAAAGTAAGCACGCCATTAGAGCACGCCAAAGTGTAAAAGGTTAGCACGCCGCTCGAGCACGCCAAAAAGTAAAGTTAGCACGCCGCTCAGGCATGCCAAAGCGTGAAGTTGGCACGCCATTCAAGTACGCCGCAGTTTTTTTTTTTTTTTTCATTCACGTTAGATGATGTTTCCCGTCCATATTTGGAGGGATGCTTGTTCAAAGGCTGCCTCATCATCCCTCAAAAGGAAAATTTCTTGCCAGCCGTCAAACTTAGAAAAATCATCGCTTGTGTGAAAAAATATTGAAAATTTCATTTTGTCTTATTTTTTCTTCAGAAACCTAGATGCTGTTTCACGTTCAAATTTAGAGGGATTAAATAAGAAAATATGAAATTTTCAATATTTTTTCATACGAGGGATGATTTTCGTAAGTTTGACGGCTGGCAAGGAATTTTCCTTTTGAGGGATGATAAAGCATCCCTTGAACAAGCATCCCTACAAATTTGAACGTGAAACACCATATAGGTGTCTGAAGAAAAAATAAGAAAATATGAAATTTTCAGTATTTTTTCATACGAGGGATGATTTTCATAAGTTTGACAGCTGACAAGGAATTTTCCTTCTGAGGGATGATAAAGCATCCCTTGAACAAGCATCCCTACAAATTTGAACGTGAAACACCATATAGGTGTCTGAAGAAAAAATAAGAAAATATGAAATTTTCAGTATTTTTTCATACGAGGGATGATTTTCGTAAGTTTGACAGCTGACAAGGAATTTTCCTTCTGAGGGATGATAAAGCATCCCTTGAACAAGCATCCCTACAAATTTGAACGTGAAACACCATATAGGTGTCTGAAGAAAAAATAAGAAAATATGAAATTTTCAGTATTTTTTCATACGAGGGATGATTTTCGTAAGTTTGACAGCTGACAAGGAATTTTCCTTTTGAGGGATGATAAAGCATCCCTTGAGCAAGCATCCCTACAAATTTGAACGTGAAACACCATCTAGGAGTCTGAAGAAAAAATAGGAAAATATGAAATTTTCATTATTTTTCCATATAAGCGCTGATTTTCCTAAGTTCGACGGCTTGTAAGGAATTTTCCTTTTGAGGGATGATAAAGCATCCCTTGAGCAAGCATCCCTCCAAATTTGAACGTGAAACACCATTTTTTTAACTTTTTACTTTGGCGTGCTGGAGCGGCGTGCTGGAGCGGCGTGCTGGAGCGGCGTGCTAACTTCACACCGGTTTCAATTATTACATTCTGTTTTCCAGACATCCAAACTAAAATACAAGAAGACAAAAATAATAAATTTCCATTGAAACAAGCTAAAGCAAATTCTAAAACTAGAAATAAAAGGAAAACTAAAAAGCAGACAACTGTAAAAAAAACAAATATTTCAATGCTGAGTGATCAATCGCCCAGTCCAAGAAGACCTGAACTAGTAATACTTTTAGAAAATGTATTGGCACCTCCAAGAGATTTTGTCAATAAAACTCCTAGAAGTGGAAGGCGTGTTAATTTTACAAATTTAAGGGACGATTCTGACAAGGATGTTCCAGACATCCAAACTAAAATACAAGAAGACAAAAATAATAAATTTCCATTGAAACAAGCTAAAGCAAATTCTAATCATCCACAAAAGGCTGCAATAGGTACACAAATTAACTATTGAAATTTTTGATTTTAATAATCCTTTGTAGAATCAAAGAGTGACGATCGGCCAATTAGAAAAAAGAAAGGTCCAAAAGCAACCAAGAAATCAGTTCAACGTGTTGGTTCTTCCCCTAAGTTTAAAATAATAGAAAACCTAATATTGAAGGCAAAGAAAAACAATGTAAATAATTCAGCCAAACAAAATTCAGGTATTCATTAGTGTATTAGGTGAGTCAATTATGTACCTATATTTTATTTAAGATCACACTAATGACAAAATTGTACAGACACAGCCAAACAATGAAAGTGATGGTCTTCGTTTTAACCTCATTGAGGAAATTGAATCAAGAAAAAAATTAAAATCGCTAATGCCAGCTGCACCACCACCAATAGAGGAAACAGGTAATTCAAATTCCAAAGTATTATTCCAATAAATTTTCTTCACAAAATTCATCAGATCCTGCTAGTCTTGATGATTTTGGAAATAAAGACATATTAAAAAACATGACCACTAAAGATCTATAGAAATTTTTGTTAATTTTATCCTATCTAGATACTCAACAGACAAATCGAAAAAGAGTTGAAGGTAAAAAGTCACTTTGGAACTATGTTGTCAATAAATTGGACTTATTTGCTGATAGCGTCACTCAAAGAGGAGGTACTTGCAGCTTGAAATTTTTATAGACAAAAATGTTCACTGACTGAATAATTTTAGAACGCGTGGCATCTGACTCAAGCAGTATCTCCAGAGAATCTGTGGAATTATTCAGCGTGATGACGTCAACAAGAAAATCCGCATCTAACAAACAAAAAATGCAAAATTTAAAAAATACCCTGAAGAAATTGCACACTGTCAAGAAAAATAGCAATCTTGTTGACCACCGACCAATTCAAACTGAAAGATTGTTTGCTCCAATTTTTAGACAATCAATAGTTTCAAGAAACAAAAAGTATGCATTACTTAATATAATATTATAATAAATCTAATTCTTAATTTTTCAGATCAAAATCCAGGATTTTCAACACTAGCGATAAATCAGCAAACATTTATGACACTGACACTCCAGGATTTAGTGATTTTAACGAGCCAACGCTTTCTTTCAAACATAAACCTTTCAGATGCGACACACCAAGTAGTTCTATAGGCCATTCATTGTGGTCCAATTCTAATATTCACCTAAATCCTGTCAAAAATAAAAATAAAACTGTTGCAAGTACAAATAGGACAAAATCGAAATTAGTACAACCAAATCAGATACTACATGACACAGCATTAGAAAGTCCACAACATAAAAGCTCTAGCCCAAAGCATCCAATAATAGAGCCAAAACAACCACCTCAGACTTCAACTTTAGAGCAAATTAATGTGTCTGTGATTAGAAACAATGAAGTTTTTCAAAATTCTGGAACCAGTTCTAAAAGCAGGAAGCAGCGTACACGATCTAACTCAAAACATTATCAATCTGTTAATGAATCTATAAGGGATAATGAAGCTCCTGAAAATTCTGGAACCAGTTCAAGGCTACAAAATAAAAGTAGCACCCAGAATTCAACCTTGAAACCTCTCGGTGTCAGAAAAAGATCTGATAGTTGTAGTACATCTAATCAAAAAAAGCAGCCTTTAGAGGATGAAATTCAAAATAGTGTGCCAACAAAAAGTACTAGGGGTAGGAAGAGGAAAAATCAGGCTCCAAAGGATGAAACTGAAAACAATAATAATGCTAAAAAAGCTAAGATAGGTAAAAATGAACTATCACATATTGATGAGTCGTTTATTTTGCCTGAGCAAGCTAAGGATTTTAGTTGAAATTTTTTGATTTATTTATAGTGTGAATTTTCAGATGGCCGCAGACAACTAAGAGTACGCAAACCACCAATTCACTGTCCAATAATTGACTTGGCCACTTCAATAAAATCATACGCTTTTGATCCAGCATTATTGAAAAAATTTAAAAAAAACAGTAAGGCGGCCGAAATTGATACATCATCGTTCACAGCTAGCCAAACCCAAAGACTCACTAACCAAATGCCCACTGTACAAGAATCATCTAGAGTTGAATCACCTGGTAAGAAGTATTTTCATTCAAAAACAAAACTTATAGCTTGTAATTTTTATTATAGTGGAGAGTGAAATACAATTGCCACAAGATCGCAACTGTGAGGATTCAGATTTTGGCTTCGCGTCCATTTCGGTTGAGAAAAAAGTTCCAAGAAAGACTGGCTTGGGAGGCAAAACGTCTAGTAGAAGAACGAAAACAATCGAAGAAGGTTAGAGATTGAATTTTACAATATATTTAGGTTTTTTCAAGTCATAATTTAAATGGAAAAATTTCAATTTTGATTTTTTTTAGAATTTTCAATTTTTGATTTCACCAATCGAAAGAGGGGATCAAATTTGGTGGATAAGCATTTTTGTGTTTTTTCTTTTTCAAGTTTTAGGGCCTGTGTTAAATTAAAAATGATTTTTGCATTTTTTGCGCTGAGAAATTTTGATTATTCGACATTGCCTAACAAAATCGCTTATAACTCAATTATTATTTTATAAATTCAAATGCATATTGATATATTCTTGATCAGAATAGACCTATCTATTTTTACCTGGTATGCGCGCGCAACACGAGGCAATGTCTTTTTATTGGCTAGCTAATACAGGTGTGAGGTGATCGTTTTGCACGCTAGGCATCTCTTTATCCTTGTTCATTGCACGTGATCTGACAAGAATAAATCTAAAGTTGATATTCAACTTGACAAGTGTCATTCAAAAGTTGTTTGACATTTTCATTGACAAATACGTTGCACAACACGCGGTTTTTCTCTTTTCCTTTTTATCCTGTGCAAATAAGAAGGACGGATTGCTATACGTAAGTCTAACATAATTTGGTACATTTTGCCTCGTCTTGCGCAATGAGCGTTCTGTGTCTTTTTTTATTTAATGAAGTTTTCGTATTATTACCTCTTTGTCTGGTAAAATAGATACCTAGGTCTATTAAATTCTCTTTGAGATAAAACAAAATTGAATCAATTATCTCGAATAGTTTTTGAGATATTGAGCTTTAAAGTTGAAATTTGGGCTCAAATTTTGGAAAACCTTCAATATCGATTATTTCGAAAATGAAGCCCCAGGTTTTGAATCCCTAAATAAAAAAAAAATAAATAAAAAAAAAAAAATAAAAAAAAAAATAAATAAATAGTGCAAGCATTTTTTGGGTTCTGTATTATTTAATAACACAGGTTCTGCTTATTCAAACACGTTTCTAAGTGTGCAAGGTGGCTACCACAGGGCGGACTGTAATGTGCTATTATCACCTAACCAAAGCGCATGCGCCTATGGGTTTATAAGTAAAAAAATGTTTATTTTAGTGAGATCTATCATTCCCGAATTTTTGGCACAATAGTTTCGGAACACCCTGTATATTCTCAATCACAATTAAATGCTTTTCAAGATAAAATATCATTGAATCATTTATCTCCAATGGTTTTCGAGATGTTGAGTCTCAAAGTTGAAACCTTAAAAAAAAAAGTGACAGAGATAATGTGTTTAGAGTATTGAAAAAAGTATGAGAATCAGGCTGTTCATTTGTACTTGTTATCTGCTTGAAAAGTCAGAAAGATCTGCTATTTATGAGCTTATTATATGGGAGTTATGGAACAAGTGAACGCTGATCAGGTTGCTGAAGCAAAAAAAGCAGTACAAAGTAGCCTTGATTTTTTTCTATAGTTCCAGAACCTTGTTCTTCATCCTCCAGTGAACCTCCTACTACTGATTCTGATCAAAGCCCAGCCCAAACTAGCTCCTATATAAACGAATCTGAATCTAGAAGTGCCACAAACAGTCAAAATCCTGAAGAAGCAGATTACTTAGATCAAACAGTAGATGGCAAAGTTTTCAAGACACGTAATTGATTGTTTTTAGTAGTAATTTTTTTTTTTTTTAATAATTTTTCTTTGTAGGATTTGTATGTAGCGACCCAAGCCTTCTAAACTATACTTCAGTTGGTAATTTATTTTTAAATAAAATTACCAAAGTTCCAAATAATCAATATACTGTGGGTTACCTACGAATAGGACAAGGGGAATCGAAAAAGGTGGCCAAAAGTACAAAGTTTTCATTTGTGAGTTATTTTGTGTGTGAAATTTTTCATATTCATTCATGTTTTTCAATGTTTTAGGTTTACGTAGTCATTACTGGAGCTGCTGAAGTTACAATTGAAAGTGAAATTTATATAGTTAAACAAGGAGGGTATTTTTCGGCGCCAGTTGGTAAGTAATAAATAATCTTTTTAATTATTACTCATTCAGTATTTAATTTTTAGGTACTACATACTCAATTAAAAATACTAGTTTGGATTCGTACCTAAAAATTCATTTTACCAGAATAAGGGCAATGGCCGATAATTAATAATTTATTTTCTTTGTTGTATGTGTTTGTTTCAAACAATTATTTGGTTGATATTAGATGTGTTACAGTGTTGCCACAGAAATCACAAACCAGTCATTGGTTGAAACTGGTTGGTGATTTCTGTGCGAACAGACCTAGTGTTAATTTCATTAGAAGGGCATTTTATTATTACTATTATGGCGAATGAAGTCTTGAAGCCTTCCTGGGCTTATAACTACATATTTGCAGACAAGAACTTCATTTGAAAAAATAATAAATAATATACCTATTCTTAGTATAGTTTTCAATTGTATAAATTACCAAATCATTTTTGTTAAGAAAGTGAGACCCTATTCGAAATATGTAAGATGTTTAATAAAAAGTTAGAGAGTTAAACTATTAAATATTGCGTTTTATTTTGTTAATTATGAAAAAATATTCTCATCAAAAAATTAAACAGAAAATCTTGCAAGGAACCCCCTTTTTAGACAATAAACCAAAACCAGTGAAGTGAAGCATTTTTTGGGAAAATCCACATTTATTTAAAAACAACCTGGTTCTCAGTAATTTTCTCCCAAAGCTGTATTCTTGAATTTCTGGGAGAAGAACTTGCTCAGGAAGTGGACGTGGTTCACCTCAAAAAGGTATATGTCATATTCTTGAAAATAGGACAGTGAAGTGTAAGTTCCCGGTGTAGTGTTTGAACCTTGGTTTTATATTAATTTAATTTATGAATGTACTCCCCTAATGTCAATAGGACAGTCATCTCTTATTGCCAGTAATAAACCACATAATAACTCTTTTCCGTTTTTCTAGATGTCGCTGACAACAACAGAATTGTACAGTGACTAAATAAACCTTTACATACAGTGGCGACAATAGAGGTCCCGCCGCCATTTTGTTCCCAACCTCTTGTTACTTTTAAATATGAATTTATAGAATTTAAATGGACATCCTTCATAAAAAATTGAAATCGACGTATTTGATGACTATTATTAGGTCCATCAAATACGTTGTTTTCCATATATTTATATTTGAAATAAGCAATAGGTGGGAACAAGATGGCGGCGTTTTCAATATAAATATATGGGATTTTAGAACCAATCAAAAATAAGACAGCAATTGTCGCCACTGTAGGTGATAGAGTCACTGTACAGAATTGTAAAATAACAGCACATCAAGAACACGTCCGATGTCGATAACATTGACATGTCAACATATGACAATATGCCAAAATATTCATTTGATCATAACTAATAATTCATAATGTTTTTCGTTCGCCGGAATCGCCGGTCTTGCATTTCGTCTTTCTTTGTGTTGTCAAGTGTTTCTAAGTGATTTCAAAGTGGTTTTGTGTGTTTCACGAAGACCTCCAATCTTTATAGATTGGAAGATCTATTTTGATCTTTGTTGATTAGATAAATGACAGGTTCAATTAAACATCAATCAGAACTTTTGAATAAATATGTTAAGGATATCTTTAACCATCGATAAAGGAACTGTCTTTTGTTCTAATTAACAAAACATCAATTAATTTAAGTGAATATTAATGTTCCAAAGTCTAGAATAAACAAATTTGAACAGACCGACTGTAATGTAATGCGAACAGGGCGCCATCTATCAAAAAAATCCCTTGAACCCCTATGGAAAGTAGATGACTGTAGTGTTTTTGACTGTACTAGGAGGACTGTAAATTTTATTTAAAAACTGTGCATGATTTAGAGAAAAGTACAATAAAATGGAAACAATGATTATAATGGTTGCTGAAAGTTACAATAAAGATTAATAATAAGATTTTACTAGACAAACTGATCAAATTCTGTAACTTTTTTGATTTTTTAATTGATTGATTGTCACATTCAAAAATAATTGTCACTGGTCTTCATCAATATTCTTTTTTTTTTTTACCTGCACATGGCTAACCACTATTAACCACTTATAACAAAATTATAGAATCTTCATTTAGCTTCGTCGGGCGTTAACAGGATAATACACACTACGGATTGCTTATAGGCCTCGTTTTTACATTGAACCACGTTTTTAGTAATCGCGGTCAAATGATTTAGCACCATTTCCGACGTCATTAACTAAGTCGTCAGCTGGTCAGTTGCTTGCGTCTGCGTCAGCGGTTGTTTTAAATTTATGATGAAAAATGGTAATTAAGTTTGATTATAGGCGAAGCGGAAGATGCAAACGAGATATGAAAAAGAGTTGTTTTGTAATGTTAATTAATGAAGACGAGAAATGACACGCTGCCTACGTTATCACTGGTACTTTGGCATGGCAGGGGGAGGGGGGCTTGAGATTTGAACTACACAGGCCTTATGAGGATAGGCTATCCTGTAGTAGTAGTAGTAGTATGTAGTATGCTTGCAGGAAATTGAGGTCCAAAAGTAACCTTCTTTCCGGGAACTAGAGTAATTCGTGATTTGATTACTTTCGAAACGCTTTTCTGTAGTTGTACATCTTTATTCTTGGTTGAGCAGGGTTGCGAGATCCATGAAATGAAAAAGCGGGACTGTATTCATCGAAGGGAAAACTCGCCGCGGGCGAATTTTTTTTTAGGGTGCCACGCCCAAAAGCACAAGGGCGGGGCAGGCGCAAGCCCCCTTTGGACCCTCTTGAGCAAAAGCGCAACAAATTTTTTGTAGCCACGTCCAAATTTTGTTAAGGTTGTATGCACCATTTTTTTGCCACTCTGTATGTATATACAACTAAAAAATAACAACTTTAATTTGACATTTACGGCTGTGTTGAAAGTTGAAACCCAAGAATCGTAAACTAACGGGATTGCTCATCCAGCAGGGGTCGTATTCTCGAATATTCTCACATACAAAATTGGATACGATTTCGAATGCTCCCCATTTAATTTACATTGCTGTCAGTCAAATTTCGTGTAGGAAATGTACTCGAATGAATTCGAAAATACAACCCCTGAGAAGGCGTACGTTCGCTGGTTCTCGAGTCCACAAGGTCTGCAAGTGATGTCACCATATCAGGGCCCGGATTCCGAAGCTACGATTCGATAGTATCGTCTATCGTCACTCGTGCAAAAGTACGTTCTCGACGGTAGACGATACTATATAATCGTGTGTTCGGAATTCGGGTTCAGAAGCTAAGTTTAGTGGTGACGTCACCCGCAGACCTCAATGAAATGCTTGCGATTCAAGTTCGTTTTTCAATTTTTGCGCCGATTTTAAATGTAGAAATAGCTATTTATGTAACAAGTTGTAAAATGTGTTTGTGTTTTTTGCACCAAATGTGAAGATTGGGTGGAAAAAGCGGAAAAACCGGGACAATTCACGTGAAAAGCGGGACCTGAATTTAATAAAAAAAAGGCGGGACCGATTAACAAAATGCGGGACTTTCCCTCCTAAGGTGGGACGTCTGGCAACCCTGTGGTTGAGGAGCGATGATCAGGAGCATTAACCCTCAGATTTGACTGGATTTAACCCATTTCCCAAAAATCCCAAAATCATAATTAACAAAAAAAAATTATACTTATTGTTTCTTGATGTTACAGAATAGGTTCTTGGTACCTATTCTGTGTGTAAAAATCGTGTAATTGTGAGAAATGAAAGCGTGTAAAAACGTGTAATTTAACCAGCATATCGTGTAATTTCACAAATTCAAATTGGCAACACTGGGTAGGTCGGCCGGTCGGCCATCGAGCAGTGAATAACGTCTTTCCACGACTGCCGTGTATGTATTTTACAAATTTATTAATAATTTACCTTATTTCGCGTATTATCGAAGGGACTTTTTACATTTTCAAAACTCGTGCTAGTGATTGACAAAAGTCCCATTTAAATAGGCGTGATCATTTATTTGAAAAAGAGATGCTTTTCAATTGACCATATTAGTTAGGTTAGGAAAAATCGGGCGCGAAATTTAAAATGGGTTCCTAAACACATTTCAACAAATTTGGCAGCAATGTATTTCTTATGGGGGATTCAAAACAGTGATTTTCAGACGGGAATATCTTGGGTTCTGGGCATTTCTTAAGTATTGGAACCTATTGTACATCAAACTTTGAACATATTTCTCTATAATTCATGCTCTAATTATTTATATATAATTATACAAATGATTTTAATTAAAAGTGTCTGTTTTCGGTGGACGTACGTCGCGTCGGGTCTAAAACCAGCTGAGAGAAAGTGAGGTTGTGTGTTGTGTTATGATTGTTGGTGAATTGTTTATTTATTTATTTTTCAATTTTTTTGGATTATTGAAGTACATTTACTAACCAAGTATGTAGGTAAACTTTTATTTTATTATAATTAGGTACTCATATACATATACCTACTTATGGATCAAGCAAGGACATACGTATTTTATACAAACATCGGCTTCTTAAATTGGTAATATTTTTATTTTAACAATGTTTATTCAACTTTCAATCACTCTCTCAGTTAATTAACATATTAAAAAAACTATTTATACAACTCAATTCCGTAACAAACGTTCTATCACGTCTACAGACGCTTTTAAAATTGAGTCCCCATAAGACATCAATGTATTAATTTTGGCCATGGCTAAAGTAACTATAATTATTTTTTTAAATGAATCGAAATTTCACTATAATAATAAAACGTAGCGCCATCTATTTCACTGACCACATTTTCGTGTCGTGTAAGTGTAAAATGAAAATGGCAGGCCCGAGCCCGAGCCCTAGTCCTCCTGGTAGTTGTAGCGATAAATGGTATTTTACTAAAGAGCAGTTGGAAAATACACCATCAAGGAAATGTGGTTTCGACGCCTATAAGGAATTACAATGCAGACAACAGGCCGCTTATTTCATACAGGACATGGGACAAAAGTTAAAAGTGTAGGTATCCCTGATCTTTTTTCAATGAAAAAAAGACATGCTCATGGCCCCCTTTTCTCCCTCAATCAATATAGGTAAATTAGGGTTATGATGGGAAATATATTCAGTACGTAGTTAGTTGCACAATTTTCGTCTGTCTCACACTCTCTCAAGTTGAAATTTTGTTTCTCATTGATTTCTACTTTTAACCTTGACCAACAAATACGGAATTTGTGGCTTGCTAATTGTTGTAAGGCTCATTTTATTATTTATTCTACTTTTCAGGGGTGTTTTATTATCTTTGTTTCAGGTTGAGCAAATTCCATCTTATTCGTTTACTCTATAATATTTTCGAGTGTTCTGAGAAGTAAGAGTATTATTGCTGTTTTTGTTTATTATTTTTGATATCATTATCTTGTATGCAATTTAGAAAATATATTGATCATATTAATTAGGGATGTACCGGAATTCCGGCGGTACCACTAAATCCGGCCTATATCCCGGAACTACCGTTCCGGCCGGATCGCAACCGCGATCCGGCCGGAATTTTTCAAAATTTTGAAATAGGTTAAATTATAAATTTATGAGCGGAAAGCAAGAAGAATACTCAGAAAATAATGAATAAGGTTCAAAAGGCCATCGACCGAGGTCCTTCAGCCTATGAGTTTACAAAAATCATGGATATAAAATTTCTTTGTTCACAATATTAAGTATTTGTTACAAAAAAAAAAAAAAAATATATGAAAAACGATACAATAATACTTATAGCAAATATGTTTAGTTAGTTTTCGGATAGTTTCTCCCATATTGTTCTCTCAGGGTGTTGGTACCTTGCTCTTTCTGGTAGTCTTCTGATGCAGTATGGTTCAATTTTGGCTATATTGTCTGGCTTCTGCTTGAACTTTTGATTAAGTTGACTAATGCGTTGCTGAATTGGAAGTACGTGTGTTGTCAGATACAGAAGTTGGTTAGGCGGGTTGTGCAGTGGATTGTTGGGATGTCTTAGTTTTGTGACAGCTCGAAGAGAAGATGTTTCTGCAACTTGTAAATTCTTTCATGCCGATGTTTTGAGGTTTTGGAAAATTACATGTCCGTATTCGATAAGTGGGCGACAAATCATTTTGTAGATTCTGCATTTTGTATGCAATTTTATTCCGTCATTCTTCCATGATAAGCATTTAAAGTGCCTGGCTCTGGCTATAGTCTTTCTCTTGGTTTCTTGTGTATGTTTATTGAAATTAATTTTATTGTCTAAACGGATTCCTAAATATTTAATGGATTGCTGTGGATGTAATTGGTGGTTGAATAATTCTACAGGGTGTATATTTTAAGTGATACCACTATTGCTATATCCGAAACGGTAAGAGCTACAAGGTCGGTTAAATTAGAAAAAAGTTGCCCTTTTTGATGCCCATTTAAGACTCGTTTACAGTGTTGCCAAATTCTTTTTAGTTTATGAAATACAGGGTGATTTCTAAGAAACGCCTAAAACTATTTCATCAATTATTTTGGAAACTATTGATTTTCGAGACACAATTTAAATTTAAAAGTTTTTTAATTTTTTTCGCTCTACAACATGGTGTCATCAAATTTCAAATCCGATGTTTCGTAATCGAGCTACCATCATCAATTTAATTTTTTTAAATACGGACCTGGATTTTTTATGTCATTTTTAGAAAGTGCCTTTTATTCCCTTTGTAAAAATGACATAAAAAGACCAGGTCTGTATTAAAAAAAATGAAGTTGATGATGGAAGCTCGATCACGAAACGTCGGATTTGAAATTTGAATGTGCCGTGTTGTAGAGCGAAAAAAATTATAAAACTTTCAAATTTAAATTGTGTCTCGAATATCAATAGTTGTTGAAATAGTTTTTGGCGTTTTTAAGAAATCACCCTGTATTTTATAAACTAAAAGGAATTTGACAACACTGTAAACAAGTTTTGAATGGGCATCAAAAAAGGCAACTTTTCTCTAATTTAACCGACCTTGTAGCTCTTACCGTTTCGGATATAGTAATAGTGGTATCACTCAAAATATACATCCTGTATATATGGTGAGTTGTAGTTGGGAGTGTGGTTGAAAAGAATAAAATGAGATTTCATCGGTTTGGGTTGCAGTCGCCACTTGCAAAACCATTGCATCGTTGAGTTGCATAGATCTTGTAACTTGCTTGTGGTTGTTCTAATAGAGTTGCCATGAGCAATAAGTGCAGTGTCATCTGCATATTGTAATATGTAGTTGTCCATGTTAAAATGTTGTATGTTTTGATCATATATGTCTGCACAGTAAATATTGTATAGCAATGGTGAAAGAGGTGAGCCTTGTGGGAGTCCTTGTTCTGGAATAAACTCATAAGATGTTTTATCTGCGATTTTAACTTTCAATTTCCTGTCCTTCAACAGACTGGCCACGGACATGAGCAGAAACAGGGGGGGCAGTTACATTGGTTGAGTTTGAACAATAAACCCCTGAGCCATACGCTATCAAAGGCCTTGTGGATGTCTAGGAAAATGGCTGCTGTTTTTCTTCCATTTAATCTTGTCGTTTCAATATTATTGGTTAGTATAGTTAGGGGGTGTATTGTAGAACATTTTTTTCTAAAGCCGAATTGATATGGGGGAATCCTGTTTCCAATCTCTTGTTCAAGCTTGTTTTTGATTATTTTTTCAATATTTTTTCCTAATACAGGCAGTAATGTTATTGGCCGATAATTGGCTGTTCTTGAGTGGTCTAGATTTGGCTTTGGTATAGTTATCACTGTTCCTGTCTTCCATTCTGTCGGAATAAAAGCGTATTGCAAACAAAAGGAGTACATTTTTATGATATAGCTGTGGATGTTGCTGTTCAATTTTCTTAATAGTTTTCTTGTGATCATATCATGTCCGGGTGTTGTATTTTTTCCTTGGTGAAGTACATTATAATACTCGTCTTCTTCTATTGTATATTCCTGAGCGTTGTTTGATTTAAAATTAATGTTGATGTTATTATCATACCAGTTATTGATGTAATTATAATGGTTTTGATCAAAGTTGGGATGCTGACTTTCTGTATACGTTTTTTCCATGTGTTGTGTGAATATAAGTGCTTTTTCTTCCGGCGAGTCGTAGGGGATTCCGTTTTCCATAATAGTTCTATTATTTAGCTGCGTATTCTTATACTTTGCTAATTTTTTAATCTCTGACCAGTAATTTCTCCCTTGTTGCTTATCTATATCTTCACAGGTAGTTATCCATTTATGTTCCTTATATTGCTGAATTAATTTTTGGATGTTCTTGTTATAATTGTTAATTTGTGTTTTTAGTTCCACATTTCCTGATTGCCTATATTCTCGGTATAGACGGCGTTTTCTTTTAATGAGGGTGATAATATAAGGTGGAAGTTCCTGAGTGTAGTATTTGATTTTCTTAACAGGTGTATTATCAGTTATTGCTTTAGATAATTTTTTAGTGAATTTGGCTATATTTTCCTTGTTTATTTCATGTGTTTCAATAAATTTCGTGAGAATGTTATTTACTATTTCTATATTGGTGGCATTCAAGTTATACATCAAAATTTCTTCTTCTTCCACAATTGGTGTATGAGTGTCAATGTCTATTTTAAAGCCCAAATGATCTGCTCCAAGGTCAGTGATATTTTCCACGTTTTTGATGTTGCCTTTTATATTACTGCTGTATAGTATGATGTCAGGGGTTGAGTCAACATTGTTTGGCATGAGAAAAGTAGGTGGTGTGTCATACCTTTGGAAGTTGGTGTTATTCAGAAAGTCTAAGAATTGTTTCCTTTTTAGTTTTGTTGTTGCATTGAAGTCTCCAACAATGAGTGAGTATTTATAAAGGGTAGACATGGTAAATATATTTTCTTCGATTCTTGAGTTTGGATGAATATATGCCAAG